AAAAAAAAAAAAAAAAAAAAAAAAAAAAGGGCTAACTGACTAAGTCCCGCTAGAAGCTGTCGGGGCCCAAGTCCCACTAGCGATTGTCAAATGCAAGGACTGAGGACCGTCCGTCTGTGTGACACATTTCCTAGCCTTGGGTTCGAGTACAAACGGGGGCGAGGTCCCACTTGCACGGATGACGAGATTCTGACCGTTGATCTGTGCTATCTACGGTCAATATCTCTTAATTCGTGTAAGTGGGACCTAGCCCAGGGGCCAAGTCCCACTTACCCGAAATCTCAACTTCTCACCGTAGATTCGGAAGATCAACGGCCAGAAACGAAGAATCAGCCTAACTGGGACTTGGCCCCCGGGTTCCTGCCATCCGATCTGAACATCTTTTTTTTTTTTTTTTTTTTTTTGGGGGGGGTAGGGGGGAAAGATTTGTCTGAACATCTTATAGAAGCACTGTGTCCACATGATTGAAAATTTTTCTAAAGAAAGACTAACCCCTCCCCCCCCAACCCCGCAGCCCTCTTCGCCCTCTAGTGGGACTTACCCCCGGTTTCGGGCAGGTGCATCTTCCAGTAATAGAAAGGAGCCATCAGTTCATTCAAAAGGAGGAAATAAACTGGTGCGGTGTTAGATTTCAGGCCATCTTCTTCACCCACCGGGTCCTCCACAATAATAATAATAATAATAATAATAATAATAATAATAGTAAAAAATAGAAAAAAAAGAGAGGAAGAAGATTTCAGGCCAAGAGAAGATTCAATCAATGATGTGCAGCTCAACTGTCTTCTGAAGAAAAGCCATTCACTTAACTTCTTCTTTGCCCTTTTTTTCCCTGACATGTTTCTTTTTCTTTTCTTTTTCTCATCGAGAATTATTCTGAAGCTGTTCTAAAGATGGAATTCTAATTTCTAATCATCCCCTGCTCAACTGTTCGTTAACCGCTGTCAGGCTGACCTGCTGTCTAATATGAAGTCCAGAGTGTTTACTCTGTAATGTTTGAATATTTAAATCCCTCTGCCCGACCACAATTATGCTTTCACGACTTTCTAAGGACAAGCGCTCAATGACATGGCCCATGCCCATCGGCATTTCTCAACCGGATCCACCCATGAATACGTTAACTGCCAGACCTGTCTAGCATTTGGCCTCTCTCTGTCTCTCT